CTGAGACACTTAAAGATAAGCTCATCTTGATGATGGGAGCATTACATATCGAAGACAAAGCTTATCTTATGATGGGGAAGCTGCTCCGTGATTCAGGTTGGACAACCATCCTTTCCCAGGCACTTTAGTCACTCTAGTCACTTTCCTGACTAAAGGACGTGCTCAGTCTGTCCTCAATGAGCACCATATCAAACGAACACAGTACTACCACCAGGTCACTCTCATGTCTCTTTATATTCTCAAGCAGAAAGCATACACTATCTACTGTGCAGATCTTCTAGGCCCACTGGAAACATTTGAAATGTGGGACCAACGATCTCAAGCCGAGTTCCCAGAGTTCAAGTACTGGTCATGGAGGTGGAGTTCCTACTCTGTCGATTCATTCGGTCACTTCGGGAAGTAAACTTTCAGCTTTATGTTCAAGTTTGTGATGAACTGTGTGCTTGGTTTCATGTGATGGATCACACAAACTATGCCCGTTGGTTACCCATCCATGTGCGAGACATGGTTGAGCTGTCTGAAAAACATCCTGCCGTTAATGAAGAGTTCATGAAGGGGAACTTCGTAGTGCAGTGGTCAGAGCGCAAGTTCAGCTTGATTGCAAAAGATCAGTCCCATGAGCAGTCAAACAAAATCCTGCAATCCTGTGGCGGTGCAGCTGGACTCTATGAAAACCCTGAAGCCCTCACGCTCTTCATGCTGGCTGGGCCTGACTGTGCCAGATTAGTACAAGAGTTTCAAGCTGTGTATGATAGCAGCTCATCATCATCATTATCATCTCATCAAGAAGAGGCACACAGCTTACAAGTCATGTTCAGGAAGGATGTCAAATCCTTTACCGAGGTTATGGAAACCCATGGAAATCCCTTCTTATCAGCGAATCATGACCTCATAGCACTCGACACCCAAGATATTATGTAAAGAGAAGTGGCTGATTCGCTCACTACTGCTCACGAAGTTGGTATAGCCCTACATGTGGCCTATGTAGAGCAGCGACTTGACAAGGTCACAAAAAGCCTGTATCAGATATGATCCCTCGGGCAAATATACTGACATTTGCCAATCGAGCTGACACAAAAGCCAAGCACAAAACAAAAAATGGGATTCACAAGCAAAACATGACACTCGTCACACAACTGTTCCTTTCCCTTCAGTCCAGGCCTGATGCAGACATGGCAGAATTCTTCAGGTTCGAAAATCAAAGGGAGCCACCTAGCATTTCCCACCAGGGGCGTTTACGCAGTGGTACAAAGTCAGACATTCTCGAATGCATGAAGTTGTAAAAAAAAACCCATGTAGCAGCAGCAAGAGATGCAACTGTAGTTGTACTTGATGGTGCTGTGATGGTCCAAATGGTCCGGCCAACTACTGAAAAAACATTCCATGACTACGTTAACACCAATATTGCTGGGTTTGTGAGGTCACACATGAGCTATGAATGTGTCACGCGATTGGATATTGTGTTTGATACATATCCAGAGGAGAACCTCAAAACACAAACTCACCAACGCAGAGGAACCGGATCAAGAACTAAAGTAGATGGGAGAACTCCAATTCCAAAACGTAACTGGAACAGTGACTTCCTGAAAAATGAGGACAACAAGGATGAACTATTTGGATATATCAGTGAAGAGATAACCAAGCATGGCATGTCAGGTAAACTCCTCCTTTCCACCAAGAAAGATGCGGTACTCTCCAACAGACCAGAGTATGACATGTCTGCCCTTCAGCCTTGTAATCATCCAGAAGCAGATACAAGAAAAATCCTGCATCTTGCACATGCTGGGGCCAATGGCCATAAAAAGGCATTTGTCCGGACTGTCGACAGCGATGTTGTCATCCTTGCCATCCGCTTCTTCAACACACTTGGCCTCACAGAGCTCTGGATCGGCTTTGCAGGTGGAAAAAACTATAGGGACATTCCTGCTCATGAAATCAGCAAGGATCTTGGTCCCCAGAAGTCACTGGCCTTACCACTCTTCCACGCTTTAACAGGCTGTGACACAACCTCAGCCTTCCTGGGCCATGGGAAAAAGAGTGCATGGGCAGCTTGGGAGGCAACACCAGATCTCACAGAATCCCTGGTTACCCTTACCTTAGAGCCTGAAGAGATGAACAATGACGTCCATGTCCAAATACTGGAGCGTATGGTCGTCATCATGTACAGCAAGAGCTGTGGTTCCAGCCGTGTAGATGAAGCTAGACATCACCTTTTCTCGAATGGTACCAAGTCTCTCAAGAACCTGCCTCCCACCCAAGCTACACTGATTCAGCACATCAAAAGAGCACTGCTGCAGGCCAGCTTCTACTGGAATCAGGCAACCGCTGTCCAGCAAGATATCCCAGATGGACTAATCTCGGAGACGCCAGTAAAGCCTGCACCATTCTCCTCCACTGTGGCTGCAAGACAGCATGCAGAGGGCACTGCAAGTGCTGTAAAGCCGGAGTTCGTTGCACTTCTATATGTGCATGTGAGGGTGCTTGTACAAACAATGATGGTGGAGACGATGAGAGATCCGGTGATTGTGAGGGATAATGATAATTCATGTGAGAGACCATGAGAATTCACTGTTGTTTTTTTATGTTATTGCTGTTTTTTTGTTATGTTGTTTTGCTAACCTTTAAGAGTTTTGGACAAATTATTTTTATTATTAAACTATATTATTCTTTTAACAATTTGACAATATAAATATTGCCTTGCAATAATGTGTCTTATTCTTTCTTTTATGATTACACTTTGAAATGTATTCACCTGTGGTACAATGAAAAGCATTTCACTTTTATAAGAAAATTAATCAACATTGAGAATAACCTTCAAAGTTGTGGTAAAAAAAAAGAACTTTCAACCACAGTCTTGAAAAGAATACAGGTTCCAGACTTACACAAGCATAAATATAAATATGCCAATGGACTTCCTGTGATCAATAAACATAAAATAGACACCACATCCTCATTTGTAGCGCATTTGGTTCAAAATTTGTAGCCAAAACCCTTTTTTCGGACAGCGGCCATATTGTATTTAGGGAATTTGCGGGGTCCTGATATACCCAATCATAAATGTAAGTATTCCTATGGGTTTCCTATTGTCAAAAAAGGTAAAATAGATATCAAATTTGTATTTGTATCTCATCTGGCTCAAAAGCTATAGTCGAATCCCTTTCAGGCGGCGGCCATATTGGATTTGGCCGCCATCTTGGTCTCAGGGACCATTGGCTTGGGCGCCCTGGCTAAATCATTTCAGTATGCCCTCAGCTACATCTGTGCCAAATTTGGTGCTTGTAGATGAATTTGCATTTCAGTTGAATTTGGGGAAATCACTTGAAACATTTGTTGTGTTGAGCTATTTCAATTACTTTTGTTTGATTTGTTCATTGCAAACAGCTGAAATACTGTACATTTTGCCAATAAATATAGTTTGCAATGGGGGTGTAATAATTGTGATTACAACTGTACTATATATATATATATATATACTAGTACAGTTGTAATCACAATTATTACAACTGTACTATATATATATATATATATATATATATACTGTATATATATATATATATATATATATATATATATACTGTATATATATATATATATATATATATATATATATATATATATATATATAGTACAGTTGTACCACTTGGGGGTTGAAAAAAAAAATCTGCATATATATATATATATATATATATACACTGATATACATATATATATATATATGCAGATTTTTTTTTTTTTCAACCCTCATTCATACCCTCATTCTGAAATGATCCGTTTTTTAAGGGGCGGCTCCTTTAAGGCATGTAAGTAAAAGGCCCCTGTTATGATTGGCGTCACAGCGTAGAAAAAAGTATCAACGCCCACTCGCTATTCCACGCGAGTAATTTTGATAACATTATCCATATTTTAAAACATGAATTAATGTTTTAAAAGTCAATAAAAAATAAATAAATAATTTATTATTAATTTTAAACATTAATTAAATAAACAGTTATACATATGCCTATTAATGTGTCCATTTAAAAAGTGCCATTCCGCTATAGATGACATTACTCCTATTCAGTTTTTTCCCAAATATATTTTCCGAAAGAAGTTTTGCATTTATAAAACTGTCTTAAAACTTAACCTTATTAGTCTTTGTCAAGACTACTTCCCTTGCACAATTCAAAATGTATACAGCCACATTCAGTTTTAAATGCATATATGCCTTAAGCATTTCATTTTAATAAATGGGATTATGCAATCTCCAGCAGTGTCTTAATTTCTCCTCTGTACCATCCATTTGTTTCCTTTTTTTTTAATTCTCAACAGCCATTCTTTAAATTATTTTAATGCTGGATATAATAAAGATATTCAAGTACATTTAAAACACACTCCATGACTCTTGCCTATAAATGCTGATTTATTTGAAAGAATCTACCCCAAATGTAAGTTTTCATAACCCATTCACCCTCAAGGACACGCTGACAAGCCTAATGGTCTGCACTGTACGTCACCAAAGCGTGACTCAGAGGATAACCCCAAGGTCTTACGGTGTCATTTGAGAAGGAAGCTTAAAGGCACAGCAGCTCATTTAAGACTAAGGGTCAGAGACAGGACAGAAAATGGGTTTAAGCTAAATGAGACAAAAAAGTAGACCTCAGTGGAAAAAATATAATATGAGCCATTTAAGGGGTATAAAAGTAGGTTTTTATAAGAGAATCATATTTCTCATATTTGAGAATTCAGACTAATTGTATCCATGTAGAGTATGAACTTGTAGTAATATGAACAGGATATGAATGTGAGGAGAGGAGAGGAGAGGAGAGGAGAGGAGAGGAGAGGAGAGGAGAGGAGAGGAGAGGAGAGGAGAGGAGAGGAGAGGAGAGGAGAAGCACACATTTAATGCCAACATGTTTCTGCTTTACTCGAGGCTCACCATCTGGCCCTGATTTGGCCAAGTCACATGGACACACACTCGAATACACAAAAATAACAGCCAGGCTTACAGGGAAGGCACTCACATCCTCTCTCATTACGATGTGTCGGATCAATCCTACGATGAGCTCCAGATTGATCTTCTCATCATCATCCATCATCTCCAGCGTGTCAATGGTGCTGTCTGAGTACCTGCCAATCACAGAGCAGACAGGTCATGCTACATCACATCTCAGTGACTCAACACAAGTGCTGCGAAATATTTATACTTCAAAAATTCACTTTAACAGCTGCAAGAAAAAACATCAACAATGCCTAATTTCAGCCCGCAAAAAGCTGTATTTTCAAACAGCACTAAACTCAAGGCAATAAAATTAGGCAATTCGTTAAATAGTTTGCTTTTACTTTAATGTGTTTGTACATATCAAAGTTTGAGGTTGCCGTCATTCAATATGGAAATAGATTTATTACCGAGTATTTCTCAAAAAATACTGACCGATCTCTGAGCGTATGGGCGTAACAGGGCCAGCTTTCGCGGTATTCTGCCTCTTTCTGCTCTTTCTCTGGCCGTGCATTCTGGCCATGCATAAACCCTCTCTTATAGCGAGGTCTTCGGTCCTGTTGCTTTGGCTGGAATCTATGAAACAAAGTTAGAAGACACTCCCAGGATTCAGTCAGTCAACTTCTATCCTGCATATACTGTAGCCATTGTGACATTTCATGTGGGAAAATCTCAAATGGAGTTAAAACCACTACAAAATAAAAATAAATAGGAATAGTTCTCCCAAAAATTACAATTGTCATCAGTTACTCTCCCATGGCAATTCAAAAAGCTGTGGTTAGTAAATGTGTGAACTGATGAACTGTATAGAAAAGAGCTGCTTAAATGATTAGTTCACCTCAAAATGAAAATTTCCTAATAATTTACTTTAGAAATCCAGAAGAAATCTGGAAGAAAAATCCAGAAATGTTTTCCTCAAAAAACTTATTTTCTCTTCCACTGAGGAAAGAAAGACATGGATATCTTGGATGGCATTGGGGTGAGTAAATTATTAGGACATTTTCATTTTGAGGTGAACTAATCCTTTAAACACAGATTTTTAATTTTGGGGTGAATTAATCCTTTAACGCATTCAACCAGGTGCCTGCCAGCTTAAATCACCTTGGACCAGCTGGAACTATGTAAAACAGCTACTATCTTAAGTAGCTGGATCCAGCAGTGCAATAAGTATAAAATACACACTATCATTCAAAGATTTGTGGTCAGTAAGATTTTTAAATGTTTTTGAAAGAAGTCTCTTATGCTCACCAAAGCTGCATTAATTTGACCAAACAAACAGCAATAATACAGTAATATTGTGAAACATATATATTTTTTAAATAACTGTTTATTATTTTAATATGTTTAAATGTAAATTATTCCTGTGATTGAAAAGTTGAATTTTTAGCAGTCATCAGTGTCACATGATCCTTCAGAAATCATTCTAATATGCTGATTTGGTGCTCAAGAAACATTTTTGATTATTATTATTAATGTTAAAAACAGTTGTGCTGCTTAAGTATTTTTGTGGAAACAGTAATATTTTTTATATTCTTTGATGAATAGAAAGGTTGTTTTTTTAAACACTTATTTTTGTGGAAACAGTAATATCTTTTTATATTCTTTGATGAATAGAAAGGTTGTTTTTTTAAACACTTATTTTTGTGGAAACAGTAATAATCTTTTGTATTCTTTGATGAATATGTAACCCATATGAAACATAGGGCTAATAAAACCATATATGTTGTTTAGAGGTGTAGTTCCATGTTGTCCCACCAGAGAGCGCAACACACTATTAACGTTAATATAACTATGAACGTTATAAACAGACTGTATCAGGATCGGTAGAGAGTGCTACGTGCAGTCCTCACGTCCTTGTAGATTTCTTCCTGAAACGTCCTGAAACCGTGTGTAGGCTGTGAACAATTGCTGAGCATCAACTGTGAGCACGAGAGGAGCGAGCTCTGTCGGGTTGTTGCTGATTGAAACTCCGGTTGTTGTTTTTTTTGTTATATTGACTACCACGAGAGAAATAGATGAATCAAGGATGGCGAGCCAAGCCCAGAGTGACGGTGGATGGTTGTGAGAACGGTGTGGCCAACCGTGGGACCAGCCACTGAGGATGTCGGACTAGCTTCGTTCAGACAGGATACAGATAAGAATATATTTACGCTATTAACTCTACCCGGGTAGTAGTAGACTTTATACACATAACAAAAGGACCAGGAACTGAACTCTGAACTCAATTTCATACTCCTCAACTTAAAGGAGCATTGAGCTGAAGTGTCAGCTCACACAGACATTTTCTTTTCTTTTCTTTTATTATTGTAAGAGCTCTATTTTTATTTTATTTTATTTTCATTTTTGGTACATTACAGTTCTGTGTTTATTGTTGTGTTCCCTGAGGCAATAAAACTGTCAACTGATCAACTCAATACTAACTCTTTTGTGAGTCACTCAAGGCAAACCACATCCCGGACCTAGGTAGATGTTAGTTAACCTGGCCCTAGCCAGATGAATTTCGCTCCGCCTAGCTTCACTCACATCCATCTGGAACCTCTTTCATTGAGAGTGATTTCCCCAACCAACTTTATGGTTTAGCCAATCAGGATTTTTGATCACTTTAATGTATCCTTAGTAAGGGCAGTGAATGTATTAATTTCTTACATTGTTTTACTGACCCAAAACTTTAGAAATGATACTGCATTTTGAAATATATCACAAAAAAAATTGTAAATGAGCTCACCTAAGCAATTCCACCACATCCTCCAGTAAAAACTCTTTCACTGGGTATGTGTATCCAGGAATATGGATCATGGGACAATTATCTATAAGAGAAAGAACATACAATCTTCAGTGACAACCATAGTTATGTCTGATCCTTATTGAATGGTTGGATTCCCACTGTTCATGATCTGACTTTTTCCCCCTTAAATGCTAAACCGATTATCCTGGTCATTAGCGTTACGCTAGATCTTGGCATACTGTGTTCCTTTGAGGAGTACAGAGAGCTGTTATATATTATAAGACAGATGGTTAAACAATCCTAAATGCTAATTGGTAAATTCACTACAAAACTGTATATAAAAAAAAAGATTTATTTTGGATTCATCCATCTGAATTATTTGAAGTTATGTTAATTCTCTTACTGAAATACTTGCTGAATTTCTCAGCGTTAAGTGTGGCACTCATGAGGACTACTTTTAGGTCCTCTCGAGCAATTAACAGGTCCTTCACGATGGTGAGAAGAACATCAGACTGAAGACTCCTCTCATGAATTTCATCCAAGATCAGGTGACTTACGCTAGAGAGGTATCTGGGGGGGGGAGAAAAAAAACACATACACACACTGGAGCAAAGGACAGACTTTTCATAATTGTGAATGAGAAGAAATAACTAGAGCAGAAAATAAGAAAGAATCCTGAAGCCTTGATGCTCTGAAGCTCCCGAGGTTTTCCCGCAGCCTGCCGGATCCAGGCCGTATCCAGATCTGACGAAGGGAGGTTCGCCTGGACCCGATGACAATGCAGTGCTGAAGTGTCAACTATCCTCTCCCTATGGAGGATCCCTTTCCCACTCTACAGATAAAGCATTGTTGAAAATCCGGTTCGCGTACCCCGAAGTGATAAAATAAAACAAAATTCTTTATCTAATGTATAGGCAAGACAAGTAGTTTGTTTAGGCATGGTTTGTAGGGAAATTACAAACCTGCGCACATATATTCAAACGAATATAACTATAGAATCAATTCTTAATGCGCATGTGAACGCCATCAGGTCACAGGTTCGCGTTTAAAGTCTGTTTAGAGAGAACGCCGTCGTCTTAGTGGCACCTAATTTGATAACAAATGATAATTTTGCTGGAAGAGAATCAATCAAAACTAACTTTAGCTGGAAATAACAATTCAAAAATCGCTATAAAGCCAAAACAATCTCTGTTACCGGAAATTGTATGTTTATCTCTGTAAAGCTGCTTTGAAACAATCTACATTGTTAAAAGTGCTATATAAATGAAGATGACTTGACTCTGAACTGACAAGACAACCACAATATTTCTTGAAGGCCACATATGGTTTAAAGATTCCCCAGCTATAATTTTCCTCGATAAAATTATAGCAAAAGTTCCATAAGTGTTCGATATAATGTTTATGCTCTATGCAAATTCTTATCAATAACTGATAAGCCCTGCCATTTCTGTTGTGTATGAGAAACATTATACAGCAAAAGCGCCAAAAGCAGAAACAAGACAGGGCTGCCCATTTGAAACGTGCGCTACACTGAACATTTATCAGCTCGGCTCAGCGTGAGCTTAGAACATATGCATTTACTCCCTGACCGTCCTGCTCACGTGACCACTAAACAGCACTGTGTGTTCTCCCATACAAACCATTAATCAAATGCCTAGTGATTTTAACTAGTTTGAAGCCAGATGAAACAGTGCTAACATTCTTAACAACACTGACACAGAAAACAGGACAAACAATGAGCTAAAATGATAAGTCGCCAACATTAACACTAACTGAAACCATGGGATTGTGGCAGAAATGTGGGATATTCAAATCAAATTTTATTTTATTATTAATGTAGACATTAAATGTATTAAAGGAGTAATTGAATATAATTACAGTATTATGTGGGAAGGGAACTCCCGCTGCATCGATACTCAACGCTTTGGGGAATGCCTTAGGCATGTAGCGTCTGAAGTCAACTATGGAATTATTCCAATCTCGATTGGTGTAGCGTCATAACATCACTCGTGACATCGCATGTGACAGTGATCCGGAAGCTATAAAAGGTCACAGGAAACAGGAAATGTCAGCTTTGGTCTTCAGCAAGCGTTCTGTGTCAAACTGTTTGTCTTATTTTGTGTTGTCTGTCGCTTGGAAAGAGTTTAGAAAGATGGCAAATAAAGAGAAACTGTTCAGGCAGTGTGCGTCCCCTTGCCCGTGCTATTTAAGCGAGGGTGACACACACTCGCTTTGTGTAGTTTGTCTGGGAGTGAAGCATGCACAGGCAGCGCTCGAGGGCGCTGTCTGTGCTAACTGTGGAACGCTTTGCTTCCGCCTGGCCATGTTCGATGAGACTGGTCAGGCTCGCGCTCCCGTGGATCAGACGGCCTCGGCCCTTTCTCAGCATTCTGAAGCTAGCTCCCTGGGTGCCACTCAGGGTGCGGAAGCCAGCGTAGCGGCTTATTCCGCCCTTGAAACAGATCCGATGCTCGAATTATCCGGCTCCGAGGAGATGGATATTTTGGGCATCGAGGCAGGAGAATGTGAGGATTCGTCACCCCATTCCCCTGCCTCCGAGGAGCTGCTAGAGGTTGTGACTAGAGCCGTGGCCAAGTTAAAGACCGACTGGCCACAATAAATGCAGGAAGCGACTAAAAAAAAAAAGAGTAAACTAGATGAGCGCTTCCTGCAGGCTCAGCCACAACCTCTACGCCGGAGTCTGCCATTTTTTCCCGATCTCCACACCAAGGTGTCGAGATCGTGGAATGAGCCCTTCTCCTCAGGACTATCTGGCCCCAATGTGCATATATATTGAAATATATTGGGTGCCAGGGAGGAGGGCTATGGGATAATGCCCAGGGTTGAAGAGACTTTTGCTTCTCATCTCTCCCCTGATGTTGCATCATCCCTGCGGGCTCCGGCGCTTCCCACCAAGCCCTGCCGTACAACATCGGCCTTGGTTGGGAAGGCATATATGGCGGCAGGTCGGGCTGGTAGTTGTCTGCATACGATGGGGCTGTTGCAGGCATACCAGGCCGACCTCCTTAAAGAGGTGGACGACAGCGGGGAGGTCGCCTTCGACGACATCCGCGAGATGCGTCGAGTGGCTGACTTGTCTCTCCGTGCTACCAAGGAGACGGCCTGTGCCATCGGCCGCTCCATGGCAGCACTGGTAGCCACGGAGAGACACTTGTGGCTGAATCTGTCGGGCATCGGGGACAAGGACAGGGCTTGTCTCCTCGATGCCCCGGTTTCGCTTTCTGGCCTTTTCGGCGACGTTGTCAATAACGTCATCGATAGGTTTCAGGAGGCGAAACGGCAGTCAGCCGCATTCAAGGAACTTATCCCCCGCCGTCGTTCCAGGTCTCGTGGGTCTGCTGCCAGGGGGCAGTCCCAGGAGACCGCCGCCAGCTCCTCGCACCTGCTGAGGCAGAAGGAGAGTGTCGCCTCTCGTGCTCCCCCGCAAAGGCCTGGAGCCAGAGGCAACACCCTCAGCCGAAGCCTTCCAAACCGAAGACAGATCTGAGGACTTTTATTCAGGCAAGGAAGGCTTCGGCTAAGAGGCCCTGACGCGATGCTTAGGCCTCTGAGGGCGCTCTTTCAAAAGGTTTTGGGCCTCATGGCTGCAGCTTCCATCGTAGTGCCTTTTGGTCTGCTCCATATGAGGGCCTTGCAGTGGTGGCTCAGGACCAAGGGGTTTTCTCCGCAGGGGAACCCCTTTCGCATGATCAGAGTTGCGCGCAGATGCCTTCGTGCTCTCGTCATGTGGAAAAAACCATGGTTCCGGTCTCAAGGCCCGGCTTTGGGAGCACCATGTCAGAGAAAGACTCTGACTACGGATGCGTCCCTCACGGGCTGGGGTGCGGTTATGGAGGGCCGTTACACCCGAGGTACTTGGACGGACCATCATCTCTCAGGGCACATTAATCGCTTGGAGATGTTGGCCGTATTCTATTCCCTGAGGCACTTCCTTGTAGACCTCAGAGGCCATCATGTTCTTATTAGGACAGACAATATGTCGTGGTCTCTTATATCAACCGCCAAGGAGGCCTGAGATCACGCCCTCTTTCTAGACTGGCGCATCAGATTCTTCTATGGTCCAAGGGATAAATATCTCTCTGTTAGATCTATTTACATTCCTGGGGTTGATAATATGGGAGCAGATATCCTGTCGAGGCAGGGGCTGAGGCCCGGGGAATGGCGGCTCCACCCTGGAGTAGTTGAGCTTATACAGGGCTCCAGACTAACTTTTTTTTACTAGGGGCGCTGTAGCCCCTGACTGAAAATTTTAAGAGCGCAAGCAGAAAATTTAGGGGCACACCTTAGAGAAATTCTTTAAAGGGGTCATATAATGCCATTTTTGTACAAGCTAATATGATTCTTTAGGGTCTAAATTAAAAGTTTGTAATATACTTTAATTAAAAATGCTCATTAGTATTGTAAGAAAACACTTATTTTACCTGGTCAAAAACAGCTCTGTTTTCAGCACGCCGTTTCAGTGCATATGACTTTAAATGATAATGAGCTTTGCTCACCCCGCCTCTCTGTTCTGCGCATACACCGTTTGTAACACAATAACACAATAACCATAACGGTTGTTCATTATAAACGTGGGATTATGAATTATTGAGAACGTTGTACATAGAAAACATGCTGTAATGTACCCTGAGTGTAAACCGACACATTCATCGTGAAGCGTGCAGCTGGCGATTTGCAAATATTAATATAAATATTAATATAAAGATTAATAAAAACGTACACTCACTTTAGTTCTTCTGAAGGTTCAGCAGGAACACGAATAGGTTCCGATCCTTTATTCAGGTGCAGCTTCTCAGCAAAATCAGCTTTACACTGATCCTCGTTTATAAAGCAGTCCACTGAGAAATGATTCGGCAAACATGAGAGCATTGACGTTACTCGTGGGGAATATTCCCTTCGAAAACAAACTCAGCCACTGCGTCTTCAGCGGTTCGGATTTAGGAACATTAAAATGACTGCTGTGTTCGTTATTGCACCCAAGAACAGAACACCACAATCGCTTAGACGCCATTCTGCTCATAGACAGTGCTCCAGCATATCAACAATGACCGCGCCGGTCCGCGCAAACGACAGCTCTCACGAGCGAGGGCGGGTCTGTGTTGAAACTCCTGTGCTGACTCCTGTCAATCAACAATCGTGGGAGGGGCGTCCGTTTTATTGACGTCACAAAAACGAACGGCTCAATTTGAGGCAGGGGAAAACATATAAGGAGATTAAAACAAAACCACTGGATGGATTTTTATCATTATATGATGGTTGTGTACAGGCACTGCCAACACACATTTCAGTACAATCAACTTGTAAAAGTGCATGTACCATTATATGACCCCTTTAAATAAAACTGCATATTGTAATATCTGTACGTTAAGTCTATTTATTATTAAAGTTCACAGGGCTCCAGACTAAAATTTGAGGGCAGCATCACTGGAGCCACTGAGTTCTACAAAAAAAGATCTGGTAGCACTGGGGCTGACAATAGAGGGAATGCATTAACGTCACTTTCCCGCCGGAACACGCCCCCCTCAGCCGGACTGAGTGGCAAAAGAGCT